TAAGGAACACGAAGCGATGAAAAATAATTCTGACGCAGCTGTAGAATCTGATGCTCCTACTTCTGTTTGTGAACAAGCAGCAACCTATGTACAAGACAGCCTTCAAAAGAGGAAGTGGCTTGTGGGATGTAGCAACTTTTTTGATACTGAGAACAGTTCCACAGTTAACATTGAAGCATCTTCTTGGCCCTCGTCATCATCTCCATGCTTATCGTCATCATGGCTCTGCGCTTCCGCTTTGGATTCTTATGAAGCATCATCCTCATTGGTCAATATTCTTCCACCAGCATCGTAGGATGACTAGACAAGTGAAGATTTGGACATTGATGTTCATACTGTCGCTTATTTGTATGAGTTAATGGAAAGTTTCAGTGACTCTTGAGTTCTTGTAACGGTAACATTGCCATTTTTTTGTAATAAAATTTGTCTGTTCATTCTTTTCAATTGTTATAATCTGGTTTGTTGTTTATCATTTTGTCTGTCTTTTGCTGCTTAATGTTTATAGCTGCGTTACTTCGTGAGAATTGTTCAGATTATGATAATAATTAATTTTTTTATTTGTTTAAAGTCTGCATTTTTGGATGTGCTGATCAGGACATGTTGGAGCCAAGCTTGAGTTCTATGTACAGGCAGTGTTGTAGGCTTGTAGCAAGTGCTGAGGCTACTTGTAAGTACAAATAGTGTTCGTGGCAATTATCGTTAGCCTTATAGATCAAATGCTTCTTGACATATCATAGATAGTTATCTACGGGTGGAAGTTATTACTCGTTTATCTGTAGAATGTACATCTTTTTTAAAATTCCATTAAAATTAAGCATCTATAATTGTCTTTGCAGTCTTCTGTTCCTTTTTAACTGCAAAGGGGGAGATTTTCTTCACTATCAACGGTAGTGTTCCGACATAAACATTTTATGGGTATTTTCTGCCTATATATCAGCATAAACCAAAAAGATTACTGAGTTGGTCATGCTCATGCAATCAAAGGGATCCTAAGTAGTTGAGGAATAAATCAATTATTACCAAGCAAACTTTTCTGTTTTCTGGTACTCATGGATTTGTTTGAAATTACAAATGCATGGCCTTTTAGACAAGCATTTAGCTTTGCTATGCACGAGTAGAACATCTAATATTTCTAGAAGCTCTGCAAGTTTTGACTTAAGTTTTGAATCCTGAGCAATATATGATGCAACATGAAGCACTCGAAAGATCCAAGCTTCATCTTCTTCTCGTCGTAATGTATTTGAGATAAAGTTCGGGTGAATTTATCAGTTTCTTATTAGTTTCCTTGTCGGGTTTCAGGTTCTAGTTTAGAGTTTCGGATACTATCTGTTCAATGTCCTAAAACTTCAGCTCCTTGTAATCGGCAAGCTTGAAATCTGATTTGCACATATCAGAAGGCAAGCTTCTGCTTTATTAGTTTCACCAAGAAGAAAATAATCACCATCACCGTCCTTGAGAGGTACAAATGCTTGGACCATTCAAAGGACCCGTAGTGAGGAGAGAGCCTTATAAATACTAAAGACTGTCAGTCTCTTGTAATCGAGCCTTATAAATACTAAAGACTTGGACCATTTGACCAAGAAGAAAATAATCACCATCACCGTCCTTGAGAGGTACAAATGCTTGGACCATTCAAAGGACCCGTAGTGAGGAGAGAGCCTTATAAATACTAAAGACTGTCAGTCTCTTGTAATCGGCAAAAGCAATTTCCGTGTGTGGTATGCGACAATTTGACTGAAACGCGGTATCTGATTTAGTATAAGTTACTGTTGTGTATATTCCAACTCACAGTCCAAACGACGGGTATGTCATTAAAGGACGGGTATGTCATTTTCTTGTAACATCTTACTGGGATACGGGGACAGTGGCGCATAAGGCGATTTCCATGCGTGGTGCCCATTTTGTTTAGCCTCCTAATAACAAGCGATATACTAATGTTGCATTCAACAAGGAAAAGAAATTTAAAAATGCAGCACGGTCTTATTTCTCAGGACTGATTTTTGAGAAACAGAAGCATGCTAGTCATCTCCAATTTGCAGATAAAATTT